GTACCTTCTACAGATGTCTTTGAAAAGCTGGCAACTACTCACATGTTTGGAAATGGATAGCTCACTTTTAAAATGATACATTTAAGTGGTTAGAAATGCATTTTTAGATATAGTCATTGAGGGCCTTCTGGATGTTGCTAATATTCTGTTTCTTGATCACACGAGTAGTTTCATTTATTGGACATTCATTCATGATGTATTCACTTGTGATTTTTCACTTTTCTGGTTATATGTTAAAAAATGGATTTATTGTAGGCTGCCAGAGCTTTGCCACTCAACCTCACAGTAGGCATTGCAGCCTGGAGTGGAGTGACTGCTGGTTTGGCAGGAGGGCATTGGGTCAGAGCCCAAGATCCTTGGAGGGGTCAATTTTAAGGCCACCTCCGGGGTGGGGGGCAAGGAGACTCCATCAGCCTGTTATAAGATGAATCGAAAATGTTGGGAGTTGAGGTGTGCACAGAGCACCATCGAACTGTTGAGGAAGGATACTTAGCTTTGCCTTAAGAATCAAAGAACTCCACAACAGATGCTACTGGCATTCGGACTGGGTGTCAAAGATTGAAATGGGAGTGTTTCTGGTGGAACAGGGAAGGAAAGGATGACAACAGTAGTATGAACAGAGACAGAGCAAAATAAGCCGCATTGTGTCTGAAGCTCAGAAGGCTTCCTAATGTGAGAGAGTTTAGGGAGTGTGTATGTACGGCTACAGAAGTAAAGTTTCCCTCCACAGCCTGTGAAGCCCTTTGTCATGACTGTCTGGAGAGATGGGGACAGAGGCTGACAGGTGCCTCGGACCAAGATGGCCGTTCCTGCCCCTTCTTCCTTTCTCGTCCCCATCTTCACTGCCCACCAGTGCCGTCAAAGCTGAACTTAGATTTGTTCATAATGAAATCAACTACAAATAATAATAAAACACATACTTTCACCCACATTTTATAAAGTTCCTTTTTGTGGTCACTTACACATCTACAACAACTTAACCTGCTTTTACAAATAACAGTTTTTATAAAACGCAATCACAGTGTACCTAGTTCTGAGGTAAAGCTCCTGCATCCATCCTTCTGAGGAGTCCTAGCTCACCAGGGCCTCTGAAGGGGGATGTGTGGACCCGAACATCAAGTCCGGGTGTTCACATGGGCCGGGAGAGGACAGGCCACACCTGTTCCTTGTGTGGCTCTGTTAAGTTAATGCTTCTGATGCACACGAAACTTAAATCCATATATTGCCATTCAAGCTCTCTGGTTTCCTAGCAGTGCAAATCACCGTCTCTGGTAGAATAACAGGAGCATTACCGCTATGATCCCCTTTAATTGTTAAAAGCAGGACAATGAAAAGTTCATATTTTTCCTTGTTGGGGTGAGAAGCTTGGGCTCAGGGGCATTAGACAAACTCCCCAGGGCTCACATGTAATAAGTGCTTTTTGCTTTTTAGCAACCCTGATCCCTCAACATCTTTCGGAGAATCAGTGAGGGGGCCTGGAGGGGTGGGTGTGGGGGGAGACAGGCCTGAGATTGGGAAACTGCCCTCAGTGGAGTGCCTGCCAAGGAAGGGGAGATCGGCTTGGCTTTGGAGATGCTCTAGCGTCCTCTGGTGACAACCTGGAGGTATCACAGGCCAGGGAGCATTGCGAGCTTAAGTTCTGTGATCCCGTTCCAGAGATGTGTGTGCATGTTGAAGGACACGGAGGTGGGCAGTGAAGATGGGAAAGAGAAAGGAAGAAGGGACAGGAAGAGCCATCTTGGTCCTAAGTATCTGTCAGCCTCTGCCCCTATCTCTCCACACACAGCTTGGCTCTGTCCTTCAATCCAAGGACAAGCCGCAGTTCTCAAGAGGCTTTGGTGTGCCCAAGATTCACCCCAGGGCTGGGAGTGCAGCTTCTGGACTTCAGAGCCGGAGTTTCTGACCCGGAGGTCGGAAGGGGCCCCGGTAATCTGCATTTTTAAACCCCATCCAGGTGATTCTGATGCAGGTGGTTCATGCACCACACTTCCAAAAACCCCCACTGTTTAATATTAATATTAGATGTAGATGAATGTTTACCTAGGGCTGGAGGGTTTGGGGGAAATGCAGAGTGATTGCTAATGGGTGCAAAGTTTCTTTAGGGGACAACACCAATGTTCTCAAATTGATGGTGGTGATGTTTGCCAGTTGTCTGGCACTGTTTCCTTCAAGTGGGTGAACTGTAGAGTTTGGGAATCTTATCTCTGTACAGGTGTTCATAGAAAAAATGTCTATAGATTCCTTCTTCCATAGAGACCGGGGTAGGCGGGGTGGGGGAATTGCAAAAATTGTGTATGAGAAGAAATCTTCATTTTTTAAATTGAGTCTTCACTCTAAAAGAAGAGTTGTTAGCTGCCTGAGCTGAAATGGTGCTAAGGACATACAGTTTTTGCAAATATATTTCTGGAGAAAATACAGGGAAACTGTTCTCCTTGGACTCAGTCTATTAACACGCCCAGTACATCGAAGGTATTAAGGGTGCCTCACCTTACAGTTTCCAGAACACGTAAACCCGGGTGACCTTCACAGCAACCCCTGAGGCAGGCAAAGCCAGGGATTACCATCTCTGTTTTACTGGTGAGAACACAGCCTCAAGGACAGGAAATATCTGCCTCAGGGTCACAGCTAGAAAGAAAAGGGACAGGGACCGAGACCTCTGGCCTGCACGTCCGTCCGAAGCTCTGTTTACACCACTGTGGCTTCCTTCCATTGTCACGATTGCCCGCGCCCCCGGCAGGTCTCCCATGGCTTCACGGTAGTCAAATCCCGGAGCCTCCTTTGTTCAATTTCCTCGGCCAGAGACCCCCCGCCGGGCGGGTCGCTCTCATTGGTTCCTGCTCCGCCTGGCCCGCCCTAGCAAACCAACATCCGCGAATGAGCGAACGATCACAGCCCTCGAGCCCCGCCCCTGCTCAGGAGCCTCCGAGGACCGCCCCGGGGGTTTGGGTGTGCGTTCCGGCTGTGAGCTCGACCCGCAGGGTATCTGCGAAGACGCTGCTCAGCTTACTAGATCCCTGGGCATTTGACCTGTGAAATGGGAATGAGACGTTCAACCGTGTGGAGCTGGCGAGATGTTACTGGGCTGTCTCAGAAAGGGCTGGGCTTCAGGCTGAGTCCGTCCTACTCGCCGATGTGCCTTCGGATCCGAGCTAGTCTGTTTGGATCGTCAGCTGGCAGCAAGCTCTTCCCCTTCCGAAAGCTCTTTGGAGCACACAGCTTGGCAGCTGGTTATCTTCCCATGAGTTTTTGTGGTGTCTCTTTGTCAGAGTGTGGTCCTGGATTACAGTATAAGGGTCAGAAAAAGCGGGGGCTCCTTTTGAAAAATCTAGACTTACCAAGTCAAAATCTCTGGGGGATGAAAAAAAATCTCCTGTGGTAGGAAATCTGAAATCTGCATTTTCCATAAGCCCTCCCCCCTCCATCTCCCCTTCCTCCATTATATACACAGCAGCTGGTGCCCCCGCCCCCAAACTAAATTCTAAGGGTCTGTGCTCCAACCACGTCACTTAGCACAGTGTTAGGCACCTAACAGGTCCTGAATGTCCGTACTCGTGGGATGGAAGAGAAAGTACGGTGCTGAGCTGAGCAGTTCTCAGACCCACCTGCATCGGAAGCATCTGGAAGGCTCAAAGATTGCTCGTCCCCACCCACCCAGAGTGTCTGAGTCCGTAGGTCCGGGTGGCACCTGAGAATCTGCATTTGCAGACGCTGTGCACGGGGCACCGCGCGGTGTCTCCAGAAGAGTTCCGCAGGGAGACCAGAAGCACCACCAGCAGCCCTGGGGGACTTGCACATCACAGCTGCTCAGGCCCCACAGGGGACCTACTGACACAGAGCCCGCATGGTAACAAGAGCTTCAGGCTATCGGGGGCCACGTTCAAATGCATGAGGCGGCACCGTGGGGCTCCTCTGGACCTCCCGACAAACCGAGGAGGCAGCTGCTGCTTTTACTCCCATTTCATAGATGAGGATATCAAGGCTGGCCGAGAGAGCCTGATGCAGAGTCACACAGACACCCAGGCCTCACCCTTGACACTTGGACATGGTTTCCCTCTCTCCCTGGAAGCTCTCCCAGCGCCTTCCCTCCTTCAGATAACAGTCCTAGGAGCCCAAACAACTGAATCAAGCCGCAAGGGAATCCTGTGCCCAGCCATGCTTGAGCCCACGCCTGGGCTGTGTTCACATGATCATGAGCTGAGGTCCCTGGTCTCAAAATTTGCCACCTCGTTTTGGAAGTAAGAGCCACCCAGGTGAAACTAGCAACACCAGACAACATAAAATTAAGTGCTGAGTTGTACAGTCAATATCACATTTTATCTTAAAATTAGGGTTTGCCTAAAGAATATGGAGGCTTCTAAGAGATTCATGCCAGATTCACATCCCTAGGTGTCTTCCTGGCTTGTTCCAGTCCCTGCACCATGGAGCCCAGTGCACTGGCAGGTGCCCCCTCTCTCTGCCTCTGCCTCTTCCCTTGTGTATGTGCCCCTCTCTTGGTGAGGTCATGTTGCTGTCTCATGCTGTCCCAGGTGACAGAGGGGTGTGAAGAGCAGAGGGGGAACTATGATGCTGTCCCCCCTGGAGAGAAATCTCCAGTCTCCCGCGACAGCCGAGCACAGAGCCAGCCACATAATTCACAGGGTCCCATGGAAACGTTATTAAGAATTTTGAGATGGTGACCGAAGAGCATTAAACCAAAGGTGAGGCCTGTGTAAGCGCACGGGTCCTGCGAGGCTGGAAACAGGACAGAAGGTACAGCACTTAACTTGCCTGTCAGGGCTGGGATGGCCTGTGGAGGAGAGGGAAGGAGGTAGAGCTGGAGGATAGAAGACAGTGGAGGTGGGAGCACCGCGCCTTTCTGGACATGCTAGGGGATCTACTCTAGTGTAACTGCCTGTCACTCTCTCAGTGCAGGGACAGGGCGGGGGGGGGGGGGGGGGGGGGGGGGCCAGGAGCTGTGGATCCCCGCCCCTCTCCACAAGGGGCTCGGTCTCTTCCTGTTGAGGTCCTGGGGCTGACACCAAGGAGCCAAGGTGAGGACACAGGAGAATGGGAAGCTGGTGGCCAGGAATGGTGCTATGTCCTCCAGGCCAGGCCCCAGGCTCCCCTTCCTGCCCCCCAAGTCCTCACCTCAGTCTTGGGTCCTGGGTTTTCTGCGGGGCTCTGCCAGTGTCTCTCTCTGTTCAGCAACTGGATGAGCTGAATATGGTCTCATAGCTCTTTTGTGGGGCTGAGAGCACAGCTGAAATTTGCCCAGCTCCAGAGGTTAAGAATTGCATGGAAACAGACCAACTCTGACCCTGGGGACCGGGACACCCTCCTTGGACAAAATAATGTTGTCTGGGGGTGTTTCCCATCTAATACCTCCTTACAGCAACTTCTGCTACAGTTCCCTCGTTCTTATTAGCTTCAAGGGCTCTGGTCCGCGGCCTTCCACGCCTTCCACTGCGAGGACATCCATCCTTGGCTGCATCCTTTGGGGGGCTGTGAAAACGGCTCCTGCCTGTCCCCCCACCCCAGGATTCTCAGCGAGCAGGTCTGGCTACCAGGATTGTGAAATGCTCCGCTGCCTGAGCAGCTTACCTCCCACCCCCATGAAGCTCCTTGCCGCATCTGCTCAGGCCACACTAGACATGACACTTTCCAACGTTCTGGTGGGTCCTCCAGACTCACACTGACTCCTCAAGAAGTGAGTGCGGGGACAAGGAGTGAGCACGACCCCTGTCCCTGGCCCTGTCCCTTCCTGGCCCCACTACGCAGTTCACAGAGGGGAGGAGCCTCATGCCACCGCTGAAATCCGCCTGTTGTTGGCTCTTTTCCTGTTATGACACCGCCTGGCCTCCCAGCACCTGCTCTCGCACGTTTCTCTGTGTTCTGCTTTTCTCAGTCTTCATCTCTCACGTCCAACACCTATCTGGCCGATGGAGCGCCTTTTCTATCCTACCACCTGCCCACCCGTCTGTCCACCTGCAGCAGCAGCGGCTGCTGTCCCCGCCTCCCCACCCCTTGCGCTTGCCATCCCCACGGACGATCCGTACCTGCTCTCACAGCACCCCTGCAGCTTCTCACCACGCCCCTCCGCCGGCCAGCGCTACCCCTGCCACGGGGCCAGGAAGACCCCGGCCTAAGAGGACCGGTGTGAGCGGAGGTGCAGCCGCCGACTCCGCTGCTCTCGTGTCTTCCTTTCTAGGCCACAGGCTCGGTGCCCAGCAGGTTTCCGGGGCCAACGCGAAACCTTGCTTGTCTGCTCAGCCTCCTGGGCCAGATGTTTCCTGTTTAGTGGTTTCATTTTTTGTAATGTAGTCTCCTTTGGGGTGCAGGGCTGGGACCCGACAACCCTGAGACAGAGGCAAACATCACTTCTGAGGATTCTCTCTGCCTCCTGTGCATACCCCTCCCGCTTCCAAGCGCCCTGTGCTTCTCACTGCGCCCATGTCAGCCCTGCTGCCTCCTAGCAAAACCCATTGGGGACTGAGGATGGTGGGGACTCGGCAGCCTCTCAAAGTCACCCCGATTGGAGACAGCTCGGGGTCCAGGACACACAACTCCATAGTTGCTTTCCACCCGGGCTGCACAGTGGAATCCCCCCAGGAGCTTTGATACCTGGTCCCATGTGCTATGGTGAGTGCTGTGAAGTGTGTAAACCTGGCGATTCACAGACCTGTACCCCTGGGGTTAATAATACATTACATGTTAATTTAAAAAATTATAAACAAAATAAAAGCATATCAGATTTAAAAAAATGCACAACGGAAAAAAATAATAATAAAAAATAAATAAAACTACCTGGTCCCAGGCCCTTGCTGACCTAGGTGATCGGGAGTCAGGTGATTCTAATCCAGCAATGATCTCAGAGTCTGGACCTTGACCCAGCAGCATCCGTGAGATCTGGGAGTTTGCTAGAAGTTCAGATCCTTGGTACCACCCAAATCTACTAAATCAAAATATCTGGGGGTGGGGGCTGGGAGTCTGGGTTTTAATAAGCACTGCCCATGTTGCTCATATGCACAAGTTCGCAGACCAGAGCACTACAACCGGCAGAGCAAAGGGGAGGGATGACTGGAGGCAGCATCCTATTTCTGAGTTTACACCAGCGGTTTTCAAAGCATGGTCCCGGGTCCCCATCATGCTGGTACTTGTTAGAAATGCAAATTCTCAGGCCTGGCGTCAGACCTACCAAATCAGAATCTGGGGGTTGGGGCCAGCACTCTGTTTACAGAATGGTATAGGTGATTCTGATTGTGTGTGTGTGTGTGTGTGTGTGTGTGTGTGTGTGTGTGTCCACGTTGGAGGGCTACTGGTCTACCATGCACCTGCCTGACTTAAGACCATTATACGATCTGGGTCCAATCCACAGATGCTCTGTAAGAAAAGGATGGTGGCAAAGGACATCTGTAGAGGCTTGAAGTTGTAATCTATCAAATGATGCCATGCTTAGGGTTGGATGGTGGGTCCGTTCTGAAGAGTTCCTTCCCCAAACACAATTCAGGAAGTCTATGTTGAAAAGTTTTGGAGGCAAGATCCAGGAAGCAGGCCTGCCTGAGATTCTGTGGGCTCATTACATGTGCAGGAGGTTATATGTCGGAAACAGATCACAAGATCCGGCCTGCACGAGTGAATGGGCTCGCAGAGAGACTGAGTGGGGAGAGGAGGTGTTGCCTTTCCTCAATCAGTTACTTCCCCAGGGCCTCTAGGTGCCCATCAGTGGCTAGTTCTCAGAAAAGATACACACAACAACAACTGTGTGTCTGTGTGTAGGTGTGCTTATATGTGGATACATATGTATGTGTGATTTCTGTATGAATGCATACATGTGTGTGGATACACAGGGGGGTTCATCTCTGTGTGCGTGCATATGTGTACGTACTCGGTGAGAGCCTGTGTATAGGTATCTATGTGTGAATACGTGTGTGCATGTATGTGTGCATGTGCATAAGTGTGTGTGTGTGTGATATGTGTGGGTTCGTATATTACAACCACTATCCTCGTAGGACTTGCAATCTAACTGGAGAAAAGATCCATATAATTGAAGTGGAGGCAAACTGTGTCCTACACTCCATAGTAGTGACCTTAAGGGATTAAGGAAATGGGGCCTCTGGGCAGTTCATCTTGAGGAAGTTTTCCTAAAACACGTGAGGTAGGAGAGGAAGGAAGGAGGACAGTCCACATGGTGAAATGAGGGGATGTCTTGGTGCACCCGCACGTGGGTCACACCCGAGCTATGTCCCGTGTCCAGCCAGTCCTTTCCTTAGCATCTTAATGAGAAGAAGAGGTTCTGATCTGGCCCCTTTGGCCTGAACACGCACATTTTAAAGAAAACCTACAAGATGATGCCCAGGCTGTCCTGGGCATTTCTGGCCACTAGGACTGCCTGGAATCTGGGGGTAAGAGTGTGAGCCCCTTGCTCCCTGCCAGCGCCATGCACCGATCCTGCAATGGACCAGTTACATTTCAGAGGTTCTTAGTGTATCATCAACACTGCACTTAGGCAGGCTTTGTGCACATTTGATGGGTGATGAGCTGCAGGTGAGGGAGCGACCCCAGCCAGTAAGGAGCAGAGAAGGGCTGCGTTCAAGTGGGTCTGTCTGACTTCAGAGCTGGGACCTTTCCACACCTCTAACCTGGCGGACTCAGCAATTAGGTTTGATGACTGGGGGTGCGTGGGTTGTGTGACTTTATTATCTCTAAGCTCCCCACTCTTCGTTGAATCCAGCTGATAGTCTCAACTCCACTGCTTTCATTCTCTACAACAAAATTTCCCTTTCTTTCGACATTTTATCTGAGATTCTAAAACATTCGAAAAGCAGACATACGTAACATGCTCATTACTGTGGTTACTCTCGGGATTGCAATGTTCATCTAATCTGGAGGTGAAGCACAGGATTATTTTAATACATACAAATTATATTTAATACATAAAAATACATATTTTAAATGTTATGGTGTAGCCAGAATGCTTTTAACTGTTGGCACAGGCAGAATGGAGCACTAGGGGGCTTTGCAGGCTGACCCCGCCCCAAGTCTGGGGCCACTGGGACACAGTCAGCCAGAGGCTCTGACAGGCTGAGCAGAGCAGACACTAAGCCCCACCTGCTTAAGAATTTTTTTCTGGCAGAGCTGAGTTACCAGCAGGGCTTCGTCCTTGCATGTCATCTTCATCAACCCAGGAAAGGCATATTCATGTGAATATGAACGTGTGTGTGTCTTTTCCTTTTTATACTCCACGGTCTTTTCTCTTTTTCGTTTGTATGAGTAATTGCAAACTGCACATTGTTGTTTGATGGGTATGCATGCTTAATGAAAGTAACTGATATTGATCGTAAATGTCACATTCTGATTTTTAGCCCAGCACTAGTTGTTAAGATCCGTCCAAACTGCTCTGTGGTCCTGGGCACCCACTTGCTGCGGGGAGTGCTGGGCATGTCCCACCCCCCTTTGCCTCTGCCTTCTCGGGCTCTCCTGCCATGGTGAATGCTGGGACAAAGAGCCTTCCTGGCGGCCCACCATAGAAGCAAGACGTACTTTCCCTGAGCACCGGGCGCACTTGGGAGGGTCATAGAGGGTGCGTATATATAACATGACTGAATACCGAGGACCTGCTCTCCAAGTGGCTGCCTCAGCCAACTTCAACCAGCATTTTGTGATGGTCCCAAACTTGCTTTGTAGTGTGATGATGACACACGGTCTATGTTATTGATATTCTAGGGGTGCTTGAGAAAAGTGTGTGTTCCCTGCTTGGTTTTTGAGGGGTGGGGATGTTGCGTGGGAGGGTTTAGAATCCTGTGTGTAAATAATAGCTCACACTTACTAATTCTATTGTTTGTATCTCTGATATCTCTGTTTCCTTTTTGTTCTCTTGATGTATCAGTTTCTGAGGTTTTGGTAAAAGCTACAATTATTGATTTATTTCTCCCCAAAGTTAGCCAACTGTTGCTTGATGTATTAGAGACTGATTGTTTATGTAATGTATGTGTTTGTGATAATTATGTACTCTTGTCCCGTGTATGTACTCTTGCCCTTTTGGCAACCACCAGTTTGTTATCTGTCCCTATGAACCTGCTTTTTTTTTTTTTTTAAACAAATTCATTTATTTATTTTTGGATTCCACATATAAATGAGAACATATGGTATTTGTCTTTCTCTGTCTGACTTATTTCACTTAGCATAATGCCCTTGAGGTCCATTCGTGTTGTTACAAATGACCCTATTGTATATCTATTCCACATTTTCTTTATTTATTCATCTATCAATAGACACTTAGCTTGTTTCTATGTCTCAGCTTTGTAAATAGTGTTGAAATGAACACAGGGGTGCAGATATCTTTTCAAGTTAGTGTTTTTGTATTCTTCGGATAAATACCCAGGAGTGGGATTGCTGGGTCATAGGGGAGTTCTACTTTTCATTTTTGGGGGATCCTCCAAACTGCTTTCCACAGTTTGCATTTCTGCCAACAGAGAACGAAGGTTCCCTTTTCTCCAGGTCCTTGCCAACACTTGGTGTTTTTTGGCTTTGATACTAGCCATTCTGACAGGAGAAATTATATCTCATTGTGGTTTTGATTTTCATTTTCCTGATTATTAATGATGTAGATCATTCTTTGTTTTTAAACCTTTTTGCCTTAAATTTCGCTTTGCTTCTTTATAAAAATTTTTTAAAGATTTATTTTGAGAGAGAGAGTGAGAGAGAGCATGAGCAGAGGGGAGGGGCAGAGGGAGAGAGAGAAGCAGACTCCCCACTGAGCAGGGAGCCCGATGCGGGGCTTGATCCCAGGAACCTGGGATCATGACCTGAGCCAAAGGCAGTCGCTTAACTGACTGAGCCACCCAGGCACCCATTAAATTTCACTTTTCAAAGACCTAAACTTTCTTTTGGTCCGTATTTTTTTATTTATCTTATTGGGTTTTTTTTTTTTGTACTTAAACATTTATATCTTCTGTTTTAAATGCTTTTCTTGTGAACAGCAAAGTGTGTAGTCTTTTTTCAAAAGCACAATCGAGGGTCTCTGTCTTCCAGTAGTTAATTTAATAGTTAACATTTTTTCACTCAATAACTGTTATATTATGATGAGTTTCTACCTTATAGAAATTTTTTGTACTTACTATCTTTTTTTTTGGCAAGAACTTTTTCCCCGCTCCTTTGCTGCTTTCCATTGGAAAGATGGAATTTTCTTCTAGTTCAAAAATTAAAATTCTTTTTTTTTTTTAAAGATTTTATTTATTTATTTGACAGACAGAGATCACAAGCAGGCAGAGAGAGAGGAAGGGAAGCAGGCTCCCCGCTGAGCAGAGAGCCCCATGCGGGGCTCGATCCCAGGACCCTGGGATCATGACCTGAGCCAAAGGCAGAGGCTTTAACCCACTGAGCCACCCAGGTGCCCCCCAAAATTAAAATTCTAACTTTGTTCTTATGGTGGTTGCTCTTATCACCCTTCTGTTCCTCCTTGTGGATTTCTTAAACTTGTCAGTTTCTATACAACCCGAGGACTCTAAAGGCTCTCCTGCCTCTTTTGTCCACCCCCGTCATTTAATACTCCATTCTAGACTGTTACGGGTACTTTCTTCTATTTTGGTCCTAAGGAACAACAAACATTACCACGGTGTTCAACCTCCCTGCACTTCATGTGTCTCTTGCAATATTTCTTGGATTTGTTCTGAATGGATGCTTCCAAGGGGTGTGTTTACAGGGTTGAACTCAGAGCAGGTCAATCTTCTGAGCTGTTTTTAATGCCTGAGACTCTGCTTGCTGTCCTGGCAGATGCCTCCTGTGTGTGGAATGGCATCTACCTGATGTTGCTGAGTCGAGTACCCAGTTTTCTGAGCCTCTGGTCTGGAGCCCTATAGTGGTTCTTCCTGCTGCACTGGCCTGGCGGTGATAAGCCGGCTGTCTGGGGGTCGGGGGATGCTCAGAGTTGTAGTTTACTGACTTCTGCAGCGGAAATGCTACCCCCGCAGCTGATTTCAAGCCTTAGATGTGGCGGGAGAGACACAGTGGCTTGCACAGCCGACTCCTGGGAACTTGTGGGAACTCTGTCCTCTGTTGGTGCCTAATGGAGGTGCTGATGCAGACTTTGGAAATCCTGTGGCCTTCGTACATTTTCACAGGTTGAATTCTTTTATCCCGTCTATTCCCACCTTGCTTGCTATCCTGGGCCAACCCAAGTTGCTGTATACATGAGGATATTGAAATCCTTAGAACAGCTGAAGGGATTGATTAGTGGTCACTAAGCAGAATGGTATGTGTGTGGAGGGTTTCCTGCTCTTCATAAACCCAGATTATAACACTTGGGTGGAAAATGCACAGAAAAGTGCTATTTTAATGGTTTGATGTCATCACTTAAGGGTTCTGGGGCAGCTGAGTGAGCTGCGAGCACGAACAGCCATCTGGGGAAATTCCTGGATGCCTGATCTTCAGAGAGCCACAACTCCATGGTCGTTAAAATACAGCCCGAGACCTTCTTGGCCTCAAGGTGTGATCACAAACTCAAAGGTAGCCTCCGGAGTGTGACTCATTCCCCTTTCCCATGTGGGGGATTTGCTTCCAGCAGGAAGTGTTCCGTTTTCCTGGAGAAGTCATAATGGCTAGATTCGATCTGGTAGAGAAAGAGGCAGCCCAGGGCTCTTGGGCTGGCAGAAGATGGCTGGGATCTCAGGGCAGACAGAGGAAAGAAAACATAAATGTAGACACTGGCTTTTTCCAAATGATGGATTTTAATCAAATGTGATTCTTTCCTTAAAGCTGCATTTATAGAGGGTGTGTCTCCTGCCCCTTGCCTTCTTCCCGCATCTTACGTCCTCACCCCATCAAGCTAAATTGAGAGTAAGATGGGGGGAGGGTGTCCTACTGAGGAGCTGGGGGAGGATTATTCCTGTCCTGTGGAGGAGGGGTGGGAGGGCTTAGCCACGTGGCTTCCCACAGAGGGGTCCTGTGGGTTAGGAGCTCAAAGCTGTAACCAGAGTAACTAAGTAACAGGAGTTACTGGCTATTCAAGAGGGGCTGCATCTGTAATTTGGAGATGCAAAACTAAAAGGCTATTCTCTGAAAAGTAAGGTGTGTTGTTAATAACCCGTACTTTTACTCAAACAAAAAACAATGACCATCATTTCTGTATAATTCCCTTTGCAAGCAAATCAGACCCTCTTCTGATGATTTGTAACCTACCCTCACCTTTTGTCAGACACTTGCTTGACCATGAAAAACTCCTCAAATGGGTGATGTGTGAACACGGTAGGTGAGCCCCATTTTAAGAAAACCCGGTACCATCTTGCGAACTTAACCATTTAATACGAGAATGCTGTGAATACTACAAAAGAAGATACATTTCTTTAAAACATGATTTGAATGTTGAAAAAGATCACGTTTCCTCTTATGACATTTCCAGAAACATTTCTACTATGCAAAGGAAGAAGGCATGTTGGCATTTCCAGTGAATTTAATTTCCTAACACCAAGTCTTCTTGTGACTCAGGAACAAATCTCAGAACATGAACATTTTCTTGCCTCTTCTCCAGGTAAGCCCTCCATCTATTACTTAGAGTAATAACTTGATGGCCATGCTGGTTTTGTCAGTTTATGGGAGAGAGAGAAGAGTCAACACTGCTGGGGTGGGAGCTACAGTCCCCCCCTGTCCTGAAACTAGGAAGTCAAGGCTGAGAGCAGAGATGTGCTCACTCAAGATGGTGGGAGCTCACTAGAGGCAGAGCTGGGGCAGAACCATCCCATCACCTTCCAGGCTGATGCATGTTCCCTGGTACCATGCACGGCTCCATGACATGCCTGAGTTGGAGGCCCATGCTACCAATCTCTGTCTCCTTCTTGATGAGTTCTCTTTAGGGATGTGACTTATTTTGCAGAAGAGGGCAAGTCCCATCAAAGGGAGCTCTTCTGGAGTGAGCTATGGGTATGAAGTCTAAACTAACTGTATCTTTGATAAGTATTGTACATCTTAGAACTGAGAGGTCCCTAAATGGTGGCTATACACGTATATCTCTATGTGGGGGAACAAATAGGGTGTAGGCTTGCTTGAGGGGAAAATCACAGAACAGACAGAAGGGGAGGTTGCGTGGCCCTCAGCTTGGGGACCCAGACAACCTGCTGAAGGCTGAATGTACAGTGACACGTTTTGGAAAAGGCAGCCTAGGAGACATCATAGGCCTGGTACTTTGTTATGGTTGATGCTCTTCTGTTTTTCTCCTGGGATAGGTAGTAGATGCGGTTGGCCTCCGGGTAGGTGACTTTGTTGAGCGGAAGCTTGTAGATGGCCGGGTTGTTGGTCGTCAGCAGCAAGAAGGTGAGCGCGGAGAGGCAGAAGGGCCAGGTGCATGGCGGCAGTCCAAACTGAGCAAGGGGTGGGGGTCACACAAGAGAAGCCTGGTTATATCACATGCTTGTGTCTGTTTCATCAGCCTTTACCAACCCCCTACAGCCCTGGGTATAGGACAGGAGGATTCGTGGGCAATGATAGGAAGAATACTTAATTTTTAGTCAATGTAAACACATGTCAGTGCTTTCCACCTGACTGCAACAGGTGGATGAGCATTCTTCAGAATGCAGCCACTGGAACCCTTTTATAATATGGCTTTATGTAGAAATCCTGTTTTGTCTTAGGCTGTCTGGCCAAGCTATTCCTCCAACTCTAGGACAATGACCATTGTCTGCTTTCTCTCACAGCCCCTTTGAAGGAGAGGCTTTGGCAGCCATTTTGTAGTTCATGATCTTTTTCTCTTTGGTCACAGCTGATTGGACTAGAGCAAGTCACTTGACCCAAAGGCAGCTTCCACAGGCAGATGGCCTGGGCATTGGATCCTTTTTTGAGAATTTGAACTAAGACAGACTGAGCTCCTGGTCTGAAAAGACTGGAGAACCAACCAGTGCTGGGTGGTCACTGGGGACTGTGTGCACTGCAGAGAGACAGAGGGAGATAGAACAGACATTTGGAAAAAGGCAGAGACGTGACATCCTTGTCCCAGGGGCTGGAAGTGGAGGGCAGCCATCTCTCTTCTCAAGGGCTCTCCCATTCCCAGCTCCCCTTCTCCTGGTGTTGACCTATTTTTTATTCCTCAGATGCCCTGAGCCTTTTTGCTCTGCTTCCCCAATCTTCCTTGAGATCACTTGAGTGGAGAGCTCGCTGACAAGGAGCCTGCAGACTCAACTATGAGACAGAACAAATCATGTTCCCCTTACCCCCAACCTCACTTCATTATAAGCAGTAAAGACCTCAGGTAATACCACGTGCCTACAATGTGTGTGTTCAAAGATGGCGCTCCTAGATGGGACTTGGGGAAGAACAATGGCAGCCAGCACTGTGGCCTAAGAACACTCAAGCATAATGAATTACACCCCCAATGAGTGTCCCCAAAGCCCTGCTCACACCACACAGTGTGTTTTGGGAGGCACCCCCTGAAGCCCCACAGTGGGAAAGGATGAAGGTCTAGAGTCCCACAGGCCCAGATCTACGTCTCAGCTCCAACCACCTTGTTAAAGGCATTTCAATTGCCTGAGACCTATTTCCTCAAGTCAAGTAGGAATAACCATGTCTATTCAGAGAGTTGGTACCTCGTGCCTACTAAGGACCCCATAAATAGCCCTCAGCACGCGGCCATGACCGTCGAGCAGAGGGTGGCACTGTGGAAGAAAGGCCGTGCATACCCGTGCCAGTGAGAAAGCAGAGGAACGGAGCTCCTAAATGCTCCCGTCTGTGGAGGGCTTGAAGGGGCTCAGAAATGTCACTCAACATTTTTATATCCCATTCCTCAAGGAGATTAGAAATTCCTTCATAGTGAGTAAATACCCCGCCCTTTTTGGTATCCCGGAGAGTGATGGGCACAGTGTCTTAAGCATTATAGGCACACAGAAAGTAACCTCGATTAAAAAAAAAAAAAAAAAAAAAGCCTGAATCGAGCAGCATAACTTCTAACACCTCGGTGCCACACAGAAGAAAGGGCCAGCCATCCTGTAAGTGCCCGCGATCAGGAACAACAACCCGTGTTTGACATCCCTTTAGGACCTTGCCCAAGGAGGGCACGTGACACCAGGTCACTGGCTGGACACTCAGGTGTAAGGATGGTCACACAGAGGATGTGAGAGCCGGGGGCGCCCAGAGCGGCCGAGCCCGTCCTCCACGCGCGTGTTACCCGTGCGTGCACTGTTCAGCTCTCACGCTCCCCACAGCCTCGGCTGGCGCCCTCAGAGTTTCATTCATTCAGCATTTCCCGAGCACTGTTCTGTGCCGGGAGTGCAGTAGGTGCTAGAGATGAAGATGAGAACACGATCAGCCTCGGCTCGGAAGGAGCACACCGGCGGAAGGTGGAAGACAGAGAACGGGTACCGCGCTCGTCACACAGCTGTGTGCCCAGTGTGGCAGGAGAGGCGCGGACACAACTCGCTGGGCCCAGAGGAGGATTTAGTCCACCAGGGGACATAGGATGGTATCAGAGAAGGCCGATTCTCTTGCTTAGAAAATTCCTTCCTAGGCTAAGTTCAACCTGCCCGGTTTCACTAAGGGTGAAGAAGGGATTCAGACAGGTGTGGCTCGAATGTCCACTGTCGTCTCCACTTTCAGGACTACTGGGACTTTTTCTGGTTGCTTTTATAAGATGTGCCCTTGAACTCTTATTCAAAAGGGGGAGGCATTGACTGCGGGCTGAACCCTGAGCCCTCTGCCCTAGGCTGTGGGCCCTAACCTAGGGTATGTGGGGGCTGGGGCTGGCCAGGCAGCTCCTCCCGAGTCCGACATCACCGCACACCAGGCCTCAGAAAAACGGGGGCTTCTTGGACGGCTGCACGTGCTCATAGCCCCCAGCTCTGGCTTCTGTCAGGTAAGGCTGGGGCTTGGTTGCCTGTCTTCCCTGAAGGCTACCCTCACGACCCCCTCAGCGCTGAGTTGCCAAGGGATGAACAAAGATATACACTGGCCCATAAGCTAGTCGGGAACTTGATCTAGACACACACATAAAAATTAAATAATAAAGAATTAAAACTAGATCTATAGGATGAGGCCACAGAAAGAATTCGATTTAAGAGATAATGCTCATCCGATTGTCCTTCTGTAAGAAGCTCCCCTGGCCCAAAGCTAATCTGACTGGACCAACAGTGGACATTTAAACTTCCACGACCCAGCTCCTTCTGTCTGGCAGGTGCCGAGGCGGGCCGTGTGATCTGAGACGAGAGGACAGAGCTGGGGAAGGGCTTCTGGAGGAGGGTCTCGCGCTGGCTTCGGGGAGTGCCGTGGCACATTGTCAGGCCACATCGACTCACCACAGACAGCACGTTGGCGAGGGCAGCGCCCAGGTAGGCCGCGAACAGTGCTGCAAAGAGAACCAAGAAACAGGCCAGTGACGAGGGGTGTCTCAAGATCAGTCCACACATCCCCTGCCAAGACACGGAGGTCATAAATGCTATCTCTCCGAATAAAATTGAACTTGAGTTAGGATTCTGTAACTTGACAGCTTTGAAATGTCTTCAATTCCAGGCAAATGCCAGCACAGCAAAGACAGCAGATGAACTTTGTTAGGAAGGGCCAGAATGGAGCCTTTATGGTTCTCTTGGGTCCCACCACCTTGCATTCTAGCAAAGGAACATTTAACAGCATAAACCATACATGAAAATTTTACTCTACGGCCAAAGCACGCGGATCCCAGAACTCCCTGCTGGAATATTTCATCACAAGTTATTAACAGAATATGGGTTTCCAGAAAGGAGCAGCACCCTGAAAGCATGAGGAAGACCATGGAGGCCCGCTGCTTCGTCTCCCGGGCTCTGCCTACAGAGGGCATGGCCAGGCTGGCCTGCTGGGAAGAGCCAGGTGCTGGTCAGAGATGAAAATGCGCCAGTGGAATTGGGCTTTGCTTCTAAAGCCTGTTTCTCAACTGAAAACATCCCAGTTGTCCCTAGGATATTAACAACAGCAGACTTTTATTAGAGAGTCACTGAGTACCCCTACCCTTCAGCATTCCTGAAACATAAGCATTATTGAAGATCCCATGATCAGTGTTTGGGTGCTTAAGGTTAATTACCATAACTGATATAAATCGTCTAATTCTATACATAAAGATTAATTTGTGGAAGTGTTGCTCTGTTGGTTAGCTTCAGTCGCCAGCCAGGAGAGCAGCCATCACAGAGACAGCCCACAGACAGCAGCCCAACAACCACCATCTCAAAATTCGGTCTTCATACTGGCTGAGCACTTGTGTTCCATGAAAATAATTTTTACTGGGTGAATCATTAAGCAACCATTCAAAAACAGTTTTAGATAAAACCCTTTTACCAAGCAAACAATCTTCCCATTTATCTTTGGAGGATCCACAGAATTTTCAGGGCAGCTTTCCCTGCAGGGACAGGCATGGGTGGGGCGTGCAAGGTGCAGAGGGGGGTGGTGGCGGTCCCTACCGCAGGCGATGGCCAGGACATGCGTCTGCCAGGTCAAGACGTAGAACATGCCTCCTATGGCGATGCAGGCCAGTGTGCTGTTGAAGCCACAGAGGCCGAAGTAGATGGAGTCCAAGGGTGTTGCGATAGTGAGGGCTATGAGAGAAGACAGGCATCGGTGTTGAGTTTGGGGGTACATCTCGTGGGGTTCACCTGCCAGCCCTGAAAACCACACAGAGCTCAAAGCACAGACCAGCCACTCTCTTAGGCATTTATAAAAAAGATCTTATTCAGTGAAAAAATAACTAAAAGGAACAAATGGCTATAGGGCCACATGAGTACTAGTGGTGAAGCTGTTATGGGTTGAAGAGAGCTTTCAGAATAAGGACTCTGCAGTGTTTCTAAGCAATCCAGAGAAGTTCTTCCCCTGTCAAGAAAGAGGGCTTTTCCTTCTTTACTGATATCTTAATGTTCTCTACTGGAGTATCATCCATCAAGATAAGACGTAAAACACAAACATGCCTGGAATTGATTAACTTCCCTTAGGCTTTAAATTTATACTAAGGTGTAAATGGCTAACCACCAAAGACTTTCTGTTCTCTGTTCTCTATTTGCTGGAGAATATTTTGCTCAGAGAAGTATTAAGGCACTGGCACCCAAGGTGGGGAAACAGGAGCAAAAGTTGGCGGGAAACAGGAGCAAAAGTTGGCAGGAATCAGCGCAGGACGGTGGGAGGGGATGGGTGTAGAAGATGTGTCACCGTTTTCTTGGAGCTGACTCCAGATATTAACAACCTTATGGCTTTATTAAGGGGTAGTGATAACACTCACCTGCTAACATCCCCACGGTAGAGCCGATGGCAGCATGCAAGCAAATGAGAGGGGACGAGATGAACAGTGCTATGAGGAAGATGCCTCCGGTCCA